TCATTGGATGCACATTAATTTCAGTTTATCATTACATTTTCATTTGTAGCGCATTTTAGCCTCATTTTGCTCATCTTCTCTTTTACCTGTGTTTTTCCTCAGAGTGTGCACCCTGGTCTTGTCTTCATGTTACCTGGCGTTTAAGATCATCTCACTGGAGCAGAGACTGACAACGCTCGGCGCTGTGGCCGAGTTCACACACCCGGAGTGAGTCGTCGAACTGTCTGAGACTCTGACAAGCTCTAGAAAACTTAGATAAAGAAGGTTGAAAAAGTGAGAAATTAGACATGGAAATGATAACCAGATGAAAGAGAAACAAAAACTGCAAAAGCATCACGATGAATTTTATTCACATCCTCACAAAACAAATTTAAAAATAGCCCAAATAATGAAGCTAATGATCCAAACTAAACAGGCAACAGTGGATTCACAAACATGAAATGGTTTCCTTATTTCGTCTCAAGGACTATGGTACAATAATCTACAAGATTTACTTTTCTCTGATTTATTCATATTAGAGTTTTGCTGATACATCTGACCCTTGTGAAGATTTTAAATCATTTTCATGGTGATTATTTTTGTGTTTTATTACCAGAAACAATTTTCTGAGTGGGTCCGCTGACGTAGGCACAAATCTTTTATCTGAACTGCTAACCATCAACCTGATGAAGCTGGAGAAGGTTGGTCTGTCTTTGTTTTTTCAGATCAAGTGTTGATAGATACAGCCCTCTGGATATGCTATAATCCCCAATGATAATTTTAAAAAAATGTTCAAACCTGAGCAGTTAGAGGTCTGAACCCTGAGTTACTTACTTTGGGATTACACAGATCTCATTATTTGACGTTTGGGCCATGACTACAAGTGTATACACTTAAAAAAAACTAAGGAAAAGCATAAGAGGTCACCTTTAAAAATTGCGTGAATGTGTTGTCAGGAGTTTCTTTCATGAGCCTCTGAAAGCACACAGCAGGAAGGCTTCAGCAGTTTCCAAAGAGCAAAGTGTAACTGGATGCCTGTTGCCATTGATCAAACATTTATAGTCAGTGATCAGTTTAGAGCATCATTTGTAAGAAGAGCTCCATCAGTCTACACTCCATTTATATTTCAGGCTGACATCCGTCTCCTTACAAACAAAAAGCAGCAGCTGACAGCCGCCTCAGTGTTTTACACAGAAAATAAAGAAAATTTTCATCAGCAAAAAGGTGGTAAAGTCTCAGAGCTGTGTCAGACTGTAGGGTCCATCTTGATCCTGAGTGAAATGAAAACTGGAACTTGACTGGAAATGTTTATTTCACATTAAACTCACTACTGAAAGAGATGATTTGAATTTAAATTGCTAGGAAGGGAGAAACTATCCACAGCTGCCAAAAAGAGTTAGGCCTGTAAACATGTTTACTTCTGTCCAAAAGAAATAAACATCAGTCTTCATGTTTGGAAGAACTGCAGTTTTCTACACTTCCATTGGCTTCATGGAAATCTGCTAATTGCACTACTTTGTTAAATAAGCATTATTTAACTTCATGTTTTACTCAAATCAAGTGGTCGTCAAAATTAGTGAAAACTCGTGAATGTTGTCGTGATGGATACCTCCATCTTTTATATACAGTCTATGGTTTCCATGTGTCTGCAGTGGTCTACTTGATCTCTCTGCAGACTGACTGCACAGAGATTATTCCAGCTTCACATGTGCCAGAATAATAAACGTGTCAATGATGTTGGTACTGTTCTCCACATCATCTGTGTTATAACAGATATTCATGTAGACATGACCCTAACTGCTGTTTCAACTGCTTCAAGTCTGAGTCCCTAGCTTTCAACAGGAACAAGGAAATGACCTTAACAACAAGATAAACAGGAGCAGGCTTCATTTTGAAATCTACACTTACTAACCAAGACAAACATTTGCAATATCATCAGATGCACTTATCTGCAGTCGAGTTTTCTGCCAATACAGTTTACAGTTAAGCAAAAGCAAACTTTGTTCTTTCAGGTGCAGAAGAATCTGCAAAGACTGCTGGAGGAAGTTGCCTGAAAGTACAGAAAACCAGTATAAGCACAGTGAAAGTCATATATATTATTTTTGTAAATATAGTGTAAATATGTATGTTTGTTATAAAAAAAAATAACACTACTGGAATGTATTCTGCCCTATGAAGCCAAAATACAGTAACTACTGTATATATTTGGTCAAATATACCCAACGTCTGGGTTTATATTTGTTACTTACATACTTTTGTATTATTTTAAGACTTTTTGTGCTCCAAATGTGTAATTGAAAGTGAAGTCACAGCTAGCATTTACAGTAGCATTCTATGCTAGTTTTTTCAGAAACTCCCTGACATTGGTATCAAGTTCCTGTACTATTGTCTGTCTTTGTAGGGCAGCAACTATAATGATACACACAAAATAAATCCTTTTAAAAGAGAGAAACATTAATGCTAAAAATGGTCCCCTCTGGTGAAATTTGAACTGTTTTGCAGGGCTGCACATAAGTGGTCCGCAGGTGCACATGCGCCATCAAAATAAAAGACGCGCACCAGATACAAAGTTGCAACGCGCGTTTGCGTACATAAGATTTTCTGGAGGACGACAGACATTTGTTTAGAACTCTTAAAGATGTCGAAGAAGCAAGCTCCTTTAAGCAATTACAGAAGGAGTCCGGACAAATGATGAAACAAATGATTAACGCACAGAGATGTGGTGCAGAATATACAGTGAAAATCCCACTCTAGCGGACAAAAACAGTGCCTTTTAGTCCGCTAGAGTGGGATTTTCCACTCTAGCAGAACCACTTTTCCGAGAATACGCGCTTCTTTTGCAGGTCGGACTCCTTCTGACATTTCTTTGGAGGTGGAGAAACACCAAAGTAATTGCTTAAAGGAGCTTGCTTCTTCAACATCTTTGAGTTCTAAATAAATGTCTGTCCTCCAGAAAATCTTATGTACGCAAACGCGCGTTGGAACTTCTTATCTGGTGCGCATCTTTTATTTTGAAAGCACATGCGCACCTGCGGACCACTTATGTGCACCCTCACCCACCTATGGGTGTGCACCTTGGTGTTCAACTTGGTCATAGTTAAACCATCTTTAGCTGTTGTTGACCATGGCCATTTGATGATTTAAAGGTGGAAACATGTCATGTTTTATGTGCTTCTCTTGAGGCTTTCTGTTTACTGAACTTTTTTTAGTTTGGTGGATCACAGTGATGTCTGAGCCAGCTCAACACTTCTGTCTAAATGTGATATTTAACCAAAAATAAAGCAAAAAAGTTTACATTCAAATAATGAATTCTGATAAAAAATTAAAACACCAGAACGCAGGTGGTGGCCATAGCTGGAGGCCATGGCCAAAGTCTCCTAGAAAAAGAAAAGGAAACTGCTTTACAAGTATTTGTTACCTCATTTTGCAGAGGATACACTGGACCAACCATTTTCAAAGGAACAGAGAGATAATCCTGTCACATGATACAAAGTGTTGCATACTATAATTTAACTGTTTTTGAAGCATTTCCATTTTATACCATTAGTTGCTAGCATTGCTACTTATGGAATTAAATATCATCACAGGCAAACTATGTACTTATGCTACTCACTGTTATGAAGTTTTGCCTCGTGTGAAGCACTTCATAATCATAGACTGTATATTTATTATGAACATCACTATGATGATGATGTCACCAATTGGTTTTGGACCACTTTATGAAGCCTTAGCTTTAGCATTTTTGTTTTTATTAGACAGAAGTGATCACATTAGAATGACATGGTAGAGTGCTAAGTTATCAGATGTAGGCACCTGCAATTAGGAACAAACAGCACAAACACAGAGGATAGGGCCAGTTCAGTGAACTGAATTAGTGAAGAACAAAGCCCAGCAGACAGACATCAGGTGCAACGTCCTGTGTCAGGACACCTGTAAAACACAGCACACCACTGAAACACTATCCACATGGATCAGTTGTAGCTGCTATCCAGGGAGAATGTGTGAAATGTCTATTTTTGCTTCAAAATTGGAAGACTGGAAAGTATGAGTCTACTGGAATTGACTCACTTTTAGAACTAGTTTCATCTGGCCACTTGAGCAACTGCAGCTACTGGAAAATTCAGTGTTTCTTAATTTTTCAGTCCTAGAATTTGCCGCTTGAGTAGATTCTTCCAAAAATAAAGGTAATTTGATATCTTTAAATGGTCAAAATGAAGTGAAATTTGTAATAATAATAATGGATTGCATTTATATAGCGCTTTTCAAGGCACCCAAAGCATTTTACAATTCCACTATTCATTCACTCTCACACACTGGTGGAGGCAGCTACAGTTGTAGCCACAGGTGCCCTGGGGCAGACTGACAGAAGCGAGGCTGCCATATCGCACCATCGGCCCAACACCACAACACAAGAAGGTAAAGTGTCTTGCCCAAGGACACAACGACCAAGACTGTCCGAGTCAGGGCTCGAACCAGCAACCTTCCGGTTACAAGACAAACTGCCAACTCTTGAGCCACGATCGTAATGCAGACTGCATTTGTCCTTATTTGGTTGCTGCAAAATGCAACTTTTTGGGATTACCACTAATTTTATAAATAAATATCACTGTTTCAAGATTCTTCCACAAGTGTCTCTGAAGCCCAAGGTTGTTCATTTTGGCGACAGGCGTGGAACTGTTTTTCCCCCAAGCAAGCCCAACTTTTAAGTGGTGTACTCACTGCCATTTCTCATGTGTAATTAACAAAATACAACATAAAATACTCAGTGCTATAACGCCATACAAACCAAGGCTTCTAATATTTGTATTTCTTTCATTTCTAAGACTTTTCTTAGAAACTGAACCTTCCTCTCTTAATATAATTTATACCCGTTTGTCTTTCTGTTTGCATTATGTTCCTGAAAAATCACATTTACTTCCACTACTTCATCCCTAGTAAAATCAATAAGATAAATAAATTACATGTAAGCTTGAAATAGTTCAAACTAAAATAAAACATTTTTGTGGTTAGAATTAACAAAAAAATTAATTGCACACAGAAAAAAAAAAACTTCTGTTGAAAATAATCTTTAAATTTGTGAATTAAGAAACAAAACAGTTCCAGTGGGATGTGCCGTCATCTGTGTTGTTCGTAACATGGCCACTGGGTGGCGCCAAAGTCAGAAAGAATGTTGCGGTTTGCCTCAAATATAAACACTTCACAGTTACTCTTTATATACTAACTTTATGATAGTGAAAAGTAAAACAAGTAAAGCCAAAGCTCAAGTGTCCTAAGGGAAACACCTCTAATTACAATGAGATTACATAGAGGTCTATGGCGAAATAATCCTATGCTTCCTTGTTCTGTGACCACAGTAAACGGTTTCCTGGTTAGTTTATGGTCTCAGTCACTAGTTCTCAGTCTTATTAAACACCAGCATTATGTTTAATTCGTGATTTATGGTCCTATTAAAATGAAAAAGACACGACAGCCATGCAGTGTGATGATCATCCAGATTCATCCCTGTCTTGGAGTATCTGGTTTCCAAAATCTAACAGTGAGGACAAAAACATTCAGGTGAAGTTTAAAAAATGACGATATGACCATACAGCAAAGAAACACATGATGTGGAGCTGTAAGAGGGAAACACATTAATATTTTTCTTCCATCAGTCCTACTGTATGTTGTCCAGTTGCTAAATCTTAATTTATTTCCTCAAAGATCCATTTTACACAGCTTCAGTTGGTGGTGTTTTATTTTTTTCCTGAGTTACAGTTTATGTGATGTAGGAAACAGAAATTACTCGCTGCTCTTCTCCATCGCTGACTGAAGTTACACAAACAGCCCCAAAGTGTCTACTTGTAATTCTACCCAAGACCCATAATGCACTGGGGGGAATGAGGGTTTCTATGGTGACTCCGACAGTCAACAAACATGGCTGACACAGGGAGCGCTGACCAGCACGAGTGAGTACATTTTCTGATTATTTCACACTGAACACAGAGCTGTAAAGTGTTATTAAATGCACGGACGTACTTCCTTTCTCCAACCAGCATTCTGCACAGTCCGATTCAACAAATGAGTCCCGCTTTTCAGTGTAACAGCAAATAATACAAGAAGTTAATACAGTCTGTTTTATTTAGTACATTAAATGGTTTGTTACCGAAAATAAAATCTGTACATAAATATGTGTAAAATCAGAAAATGTTCCCTTTTTTTCTGAATGTATTTTAGATGCATTATCTTATTTCAAGAATCTATTTTAGTTCTGATATGGAGAGTAACTGCAACCATCTCCCAGTGTTTCAGACTGTATTAGGGTGGAGTGGAGTCTGTGAACCAAAGGAAACTATATTCAAGGAAGCAGGCAATTCATTATTGACTTTAAATCAAGTTTTTTTTTTAAAATTCAATAGAGATTACTGGGACTAATTTAGAAAAAAAAAATGACCCAACGTGATTGCATTGCGCTTCCATTTCCTCAGGCTTATCTACTAACACTAAGAGGCACAGTCTTTGCAGCACAGCAGCACCAAAACTGCAGCTCCTTTAGTTGTCTCTAAACTTTACAAACTAGCAGATAAACTGAACCAAACTGCATGAATCCTCCAGAGTGCCCAAAAGCCACAACTCATATCCTGTTCTATTTACTCCCAGACGATCATCATGCCACGTCCCAACATTTTCAGCCCGACATCCAATGATCCCCAAACTCTACGTGATGCCGTGGAAGCAGGACATGAAGAACCGGAGACTCCTGATGAAGGCAGGTGTCAGTCAGGAGAACACATCCAATCAGATTTCTTTATGGCAGAAACAATGTTATTATTGGTTTGTATTTTTTTTTATTTATTTGCTTTGGGGGAGTTTTAAACTAAGGACAGCGTGGTGTGTGATGGGTAGGACGACTCCATCATCTGGCTCTGTGGAGTTTATCTCTTGCCCTGTGGCAGCTGGCTGAACCAGATAAGCAGAATAGGGTACATGGGTGGAAGTTTAGAAAAATATTCTCATAATAAAGTGTGTGACATATTGTGTAATTTCCCAACATTTACTGCATAACTTTTCTACACAAAAATGCTTACCAGTAGAAGGGTTAACAGCTTAATGCTTTAAAGGAAAATGTAAGCTTTTTTAATGTAGTGAACAATTAAAACATTTTATGACAAAGGTCTAGCGGCTCCATAGTGTGGTAGTTTACTCATTCACCTAACAAATGAAAGATCCCTGATTTTATCCTGGGAGGAGACAAATCCATTTGGGATTGCATGAAGAAGGGCGTCTGGTGTAAAACTCAGGTGACCCCTGTGACTAAAGGAGCATTCAAGAGCAGCTTGAATGGGAAAGGCCTAATCATTACAATGCCTCTTGTCCACACACCACCTTAAGAGGTGCAAGTCATATTAAGTTGAAAATGACACCCTAAATACAGAAAAATTACATGAGGAATGTCAGGAAAGTAGGATCTATTATGAAGTTTCACTTAGAGTAAGTTTGCTCTTTATAGCTTTCTTTTTCCTGTTGAAGCTTGTTACACGTTAGCTTTCAAATTGTCATCTTTTTTAATACTGGCTGTTTTGGTATTAAGATATATATATCGTTTTAATTAATTAAGTATAAAGTATAAACACAGGCATGTATATAGTGCAGTCTCACTAAGAAAAAGCTTCCTTGGGCTTGTTGTGAAAGTCATGTAAATGTAAAAAAAGCCAAAACTTTTTCCCGTTGATTCAGTTTCATTTCCCCTTTTCCTAAAAGTCGGTTTGTATTTTTATGTCAGTGAACTAAACTGATTTTCTCACTTTTTGTTAACTATGGTACGATTGCTCAGAACGCAGCTCTGGCGGGGATCCCCGTGGTTCCTCTTGAGGAGTCTTTGTGTTTCTGTGGTCGAGAACGTCTCTGCCACAGCCAGGACTCCGCCTACAGAACCACCTCTTCCTCCTCCTCACCTCCGTTCAGCCAGACAGGACTGCCCGCTCATTGCTCCTCCCACTTCTCCAGGTGAAACCCCACAGAGACTGACTGAGAAAAGGCCAGCTGTAACCACCTATGACAATAAATTTTTGGACGATTTGCTTAAAATAAAATAAAATCTTTGCTACTTTTCTCCTCACAGGTATAACAGCTCTGCGGTGACGACCAGAGGGCTTTTCCAAACCTGAGTACAGATCACAGAAACACTAATAAAACATGCATATCTGATATAGAAACAAAGCTCTGAATCCTGTGTGTTTTGTACTGATATCCAAAATATAAATGTAGCAGAAACGTTTGAGTTTAAGTATTTCTTTGGCTGAACTTGAGCCGCTAAAGAGTAAGATGACTTTAACAACTTTAAAGCTTCTTCCATAAAAACAAAAAAAGAAAGGTAGAAATAAAGATGGAGACAGGGTCGATGAAGGACATAAGAACTGTGTGCACCAGGAGTAAAAGTGAAAAATAAAACAAATAAAAAAGCAAACAAATAAAAAAAAACAGATGATTTGACCTTAAACGTGTTAAACGCCCCTTCTGAGAAGAGAAAACACGCACTTACTCAGGCTTGAGTGTCCATTAATGGGCCCATTGTTCTGCTTGTCTTATCAGATTTCATTAACTTCAGGTTTTAAGGTGGTAAAGTTGTGCTCAGGGACAGGGAGGCTCACAAAGCTTCCTATTGATGAAATTCTAAGAAAAACTCTATTAATCATGATCTTTTCTAAGAATTTCCCCCGAAAGTTAGAATAGTAAATCCTGGTAAAGTTATTGTTATTCCCAAAGCATCCTTGCCCCCAGAAGAATTCAGGTGGAAACCTGTTAGGAGCAGGTAGGAAGGATTTTAAGAGCTTTGAAAGTTTTGTTAAGCAGAGGAGACAACATGCTGCCAGTGTTTCCTCTCCAAGAGAGCAAACAAAGTATTTGCACAATCTGATAAAATTTATCTTGTTTAAGCTTTAGAGCAGGGGAGTCAAACATAAGGCCCGGGGGCCACAGTCAGCCCACCAAAGACTCCAGTCAACAGGACGGCTTTGGAAAATGTTAAGGAAGGTATAAATTTTGGACTTTTAAGTGTATTTTCACAAGTTTTACAGCTTTGGCTACTGATAAACACCTTCCCCATTCATTCAACACCAAAATATCATGTTTAGAGACAAACGATAAAATTCCAGAAAAGCTCCCTTTTTTTCCACTATTTACTACAGAAATCTGAGCGTTTTCTGTTTGTTTGTCCAAAGAGTCATGCTGATGGATTTCTTACATTTGCTACAGCAGCATGACATTAGAAAAAAGAGACCTCTGTTTGTAATTGTACTTATTTTCCTTATATTGAGTTCATTCATTTCAGGGGTTAAATGCATATTATGGTTTTACACTAGCAGAAAGGGGAGTTTCACTGCTCCAGGCCACTTAAGATCAAAGTGGACTGTTTGTGTCCTGCAGTGTAAAATTAGTTTGAGCTGCTTCAGAAGCTTCGATTATTATACAACATGAAAAAACAAACTGAATGGACAACGCTGGCATGTTCATGTTTAACATGTAGTGATTAATTCACAACAGTAATATGAAAGAAACCAAGACAGACAGTCGGTTTAAAATGTCTCAAAGACTTTCAGTATTAAATAAATCTATCAACAGAATATGAAGAAACAATTGTTTACATGTATACATGTACACACTGTGAAAAAGTATTTTTTCACATTAAAGTATTTAGTATTAGGCAAACAGTAAATACAAAATAAGGGAGACAGCTTTCCAATGCTGTTAAATGCTACAGATTAAATTGTCAGTCTCATCAGCTCTCTCACCGAATACAACGTCTCAATCAGGGCAGAAAGTGCGGCGCTCACCACAAGAAAGGACGACTGAAAATGTGAAATATGCAAACAGAACAGGAATGATGACTTTCAGAGCCTTTTAACCTGAGTTCCCCTGAAATATAAACTGTTAATCTGAGAGTGCCCAACTCTCTGAGTGAGAGCATGGATCAGAGCAGTGGTGGAATGCACCTTAGTACATTTGCTCAAGTACTTTACTGAAGTACAGTTTTAATGTACTCTGTTTAAGTATTTCTCTGTTATGCTGCTTTCTTTTTCTGCTTCACTCCATTACAACAATCTAACCTTTAACAGGCCGGAGTCTTGCTTCCAGTTTATTCAACAGAGATGTTCACTGCATGAAAGTTTTGATAATTGCAGTATGCAGTGTAAACAGAGATTGTATGATAAGGTTATTTTTTTTATGACCATTAACTATTAGATCATTGTCACTACTTTTTGTGTTGAAGATAAAACTCTTGCTCCTTTCCCTGCTCAGAGTTGCTCGAACTTTCCTTAATCCATAAAATCACATTTTAGGCTCAGTTAAAAGCTCTAAGAATGTTTGTTAATCCCGGCCAATCATTTTGTTTTTCTTTGAGAGGTGTTAAACATTACTCGTCTATGGTTTGCACAACTGTTTCCCATCCGTGAGTCTTATCCTTGTTTGAGCTTAACTTGTTATTTCCTAGAACTGTTTCGTTGCACTTTCTTGCCTTGCAAACAGTTTCAGGGTCAGTCTTAATGCCAGATGACCTGGTGCCCTTGTTTAGCTGTGACTGGCTGATGATTTGTGTCTGTGGAGGGAGGAGATGTTTGAACAGATTAAACAAAGCTTAACCTGAAGTGATAATGATGGAACTTTTTGTGAGGAGTCAGTCACTTTTTTGAAATGTGACCTAAAATATAGACCCGAAACCACTGGTGTAGATTTTGTGGGGGTATCTTTACCTTTAAATTGCATAAGTAAAGACTACATTGTCAGCGAGAGTACCATCAACCACATGATCTCCTATGAGCAACATTTGGAAAAAGTGTAAAGGAAGAATTCTCTTCTAAGAGGAAGACCACCAAGAGAACCAGGAAGAAGCCTTGGAAGGCTGATTGGGGATGAGGGAAATGGAAGGAGACAAAAAAGGAGCATAGAAAGACCACACAACTACAGAAGAGACAAGAAAAAAAGTTCATTGTATTAAACAAAGTTATATAAAACATGGGGAGTAAAGGAGAAGGTGTCAGTCCATCATGGGAAATCCACCAGTAGCTTCAGCCTACAGCAGCAAGTCTACAGGAATCTAAAAAGTTGAATCCTGATGACATCTCTCTGGGTGCTCTGGCTTCCTCCCACAGTCCAAAGTGGTTAGTGAGGTTAAGTTAAGCCATTCTAAGCTGGTCATAGGTGTGAATCTCTGTCTGTCTCTCGGTGTTAGATCAACAACAGACTGATGACCTGTCCAGAGTGTTTTTAAAACAAAGTAAAAAAAAAAACAGTGTAAAAAAAATTTGTTGGGCTCTGAAAGCATAATCATGTAAAACAAAATAAAAGAGAGAAACACCCAGGGACACTCAAAGGATAGCCAGGTTTATATAATAAACATCAACTCACATAGTAAAGACTGCTTTGCGCCTGCACCTCAGTCTTTATCAGAACATCCTGGCACACTGCTATTTCCTGTCAAAACCAGTGATGAGCTGATAGCAAGACTGCAGGTTTAAGCAAACACTGCTCAATTAGCAGTTCTGCACGGTTTTTTATGAAAACCACATTTTGCTTTTAAATATTTTCAAAATCAGAACTTCTGTATTTACAGGAAAGGCAAATGCATCAGATCATCAACTCTCAGTTCACAAAAGCCAACCAACATTTGATGCTGGTGTTACTCATTTCTCATACTCCAGTTTTCAGGATTCACTCTGAAACTTTTCATCATTCCATTAATATTCAGACGTTAAGCTGTTAAACCAATACAGTCCTTAAAATCAGGGTTACCAGGGTTACCAAGGCAATAGCAGTCAAAGATCACTCATTAGTTTTGCAAAGTTTAAAAAACGTATCTGAGTTATGATTAAGTATTGCCACTAACTCACAAACCACATCCTAAATAAAGATTAGATGGTCAGGTTGATTTAACTGGTTTCCGTCACTCTTTGTTTTTATTGTTCGGTGTTCGGTTTCAGCATCAAGAGCTTCGACAGAGAAAGCAGCTGTTGTTCCCCATGCTAATGCTGCTGCTGCTGCCTCGCTTCGTGCGTATCTAGGCCTCTGTGTGAATGTCTCAGTGTGTCACCAGCAGTGATTACAAATGTCATTGTTTAATGCCAACACACACTCACATGCAGCGGAGCGAGAGGGGGTGGTAAAAAGGGAGTTGGTGTCTTTTACATATATTATTTACGGCAGTGAGCCTTGATGCAACAGAATAGTAAATTAAAGTCATTGTGTTTGTGTTTATAATGATTTTACAGTTTACTTTGCACCTACTGGATGAACTGGCTCCAAAACAGTGGTTTTGCTTCCCTGCGCAAGACTGCCAATGAAAACTAAACATGCTCGTATGCTTTACAAACTTTATGAGGAGGAACTCTATTGCTCTACCCTTTGTCTAAGCGTCGTGTTAGTCTCTTCCTCTTGACTGAAACGCGCTGGAGCGCGTGCCGGAGTTTGGTGCGTAATGGACACCCATCCATCCTTTCTACTCTTGCCTCCTCTTCATTGTTCTCCGTGTTCCTGGCATGCTGGGCTGTCTCCCGAGTCCAGATAGAGGAGGAGACAAAGCCAGAGATGACAATAAATCGTCTGAGTCACCATCTGAGGGAGAGACAGAGGGAGTGAGAACGACTTCGTGTCCTTTACGCATGTTATGAGCACTTTCAGAGACGCTTGTCGTGCGTCCTGGCGCATCCAGTGATTAGAGGTTTCCAAAGTACAGCGGAATAGTAAATGACTGTATTTCAGTTTATCCGTGTTTGGAATTAAATGTGGCAGCTTCCCTGTAGTTTTGGAGCAGGTGCTTTTTCCCGCTAACCGTTTGTCTCTCGGTGCATCACTGACAGAAATGTCGGGTCAGAAACCGTCGTTGAGGAGCGACGACTCCGCGCAGAGCCGCTTTCAAGTGGATGTGGTGATGGAGGCATCATCTGCAGCGCCCGGTCCGGCTGCCCCCTCTGCTCCGGCATCCACTGATGGATCCAGACCTCCTGAGGAGTCCAAAGGCCGGTTCAGGGTTGTGGGCTTCATGGATTCGGGCGCGATGGACATTGGACTCCCACCTGATGTCTCCCATGAGCCGGACACGGCAAAAAGCGACTCAGTCAGCCTCCATTCAACTGGCACGGGGCACACTCACATCTCTGACTCCCACTCCAACACCTACTACATGAGGACCTTCGGACACAACACTATAGACGCCGTGCCTAACA